AGCCCAAGCTGGTCTCGAACTCTCAACGATCCTCCTGCCTCAGCTTCCCAAGTGCTGGGGTTGCAGGTGTGTGCCACCACGCCCGGCTCCCTTTTTTCAAAGATTCCACATATTAGGGAAAATATGCGGGACTTGTCTTTGTGAATCTGACTTGTATCTTTTAGCATGTTGACCCTCAGTTCTATCAACTTTCCTACATGTGACATAATTTTGTTCTTTTTCATGGCTCAATAGTGATCCACTGTATATAGGTACTATGTTTTATTTATTCATCCACCGGTGGGTACCGAGGTTGTTCCATTTCTCGGCTGTTGTGACTTGTGTCACAATAAACATAGATATTAAGGTCCCGGCAATATGCTGACTTGATATGGCTAATTTGAATTTATATTCTTTTTTTTTTTTTTTTTTTTTTGAGACAGGGTCTCACTATGCAGTTCAGGCTGGCCTTGAGCTCACTTTGTAGCCCAGGCTGGTCTCGAACTCCCAACAATCCTCCTGCCTCAGCCTCCCGTGTGCTGGGATTACAGGCCTGTGCCACCATGCCTGACCCTTGAATTTATATTATATGTAAATTGATTTAGAAACTTTAATGTTTATTGGAATGGCACTATTTAAATTCTCTGGAGATACTCTATGCAGCAACATAAACATCTTCAATAATTTTTATCCTATGATTTTTTTGTGTGTGTTTTTGAGACGGTGTCTTGCTATGTAATTCAGGCTGGCCTTGAGCTCATTTTGTAGCCCAGGCTGGTCTGGAACTCACAACGATCCTCCTGCCTCAGCCTCCCGAGTGCTGGGATTACAGGCATGTGCCACCACACCCAATAATTTTTAGTATATTTTTAAGTGTACGTACAAGTTTTGTTTAGACCTACTTAATTTCATTCTGTGTTTAATTAGTTATACTGTGTTGTATTAGGTATACTTAAAATTTACATAAAATCAATATGTTAAGTCAGAATAGCATCCTTAGTTTTACTTGCTTTCCAAATTTGACATCAAGGTGCTATTAGTAAAGTTTTGTTGTCTGCCTTTATTAAATTTATTTCTTTTTATTTTAAAGAGAAAAAATAAAACAAAATTTCGAAACAAGATAATAGGAGGGTAACAGTGGGTAATACAATATATATTGTTATCTTCAAGTTAGTTACAAGACATCAGCATTTAATTGTCCAAACAACATTAGCACAGACCTTTCTTTTCAGTGAACTAAGAGATCTTTTTTTTTGTGTGTTTTTGAGACAGGGTCTCTCTCTGTAGTTCAGGCTTTGAGCTCACTTTGTAGGCCAGGCTGGTCTTGAACTCACAAGGATCTTCCTGCCTCAGCCTCCCGAGTACTGGGATTACAGGCGTGCACCACCACACCCGGCTGAACTAAGATATCTTAACTATCTTTTACATATATATACATAATTTTTTTTTCCCTTCTTTTCTTCATTCCTCTATCCCAGTCTCTCTTTCCTTTTGAAGTTTCTTCCATTTTATAGCATCTGTTATACATTTTGGATCTTATTTACTCTTTCAACTTCTCGCACTAGGGAGATAATATGATGTTTACACATGTGCGTCTGGTTTACTTCTCTTATGAGTGTGGTCTGAGGTGCATCCATTTACCTAAAATGTCTCCAGTTATCCCTTCTGGCTGAGCAGTACTCCATTGTATAAGTAGACCACATCTCTTTTATCCATTCCTCAGTTGTGGGCATTTGGGTTGTTTCCAAGATCTAGCTATGACAAATTGTGCTGCTGTAGACACAGGTGCACACATATAACCATGGTACGATGTTTTCAGTTCTTCTTGGAAGATACCCAGAAGAGGAGTAGCTCGGTCAAATGGGATTAGAGGTCCACACTGATTATCCTTAGTTTTACTATGCTTGCTTTCCACATTTAACATTAAGGTGCTGTTAGTACAGTTTTATTGTCGGCCTTTATTAAATTTATTTCTAACCATGAATATATGTTTAGAAGGGTTTTTTTTGAGACAAGGTTTCACTATGCAGTTCAGGCTGGCCTTGAACTCACTTTGTTTCCCAGGCTGGCATTGAACTCACAGTGATCCTCCTGCCTCAGCCTCCCGAATGCTGAGATTATAGGTTTGCACCACCACACCTGGCCAATGTTTAGTTTTTAAAATTTTTCTTTCATTAGTGTACGTTTGCAGTACATAACAATTACATTTTGGGGAGCTGATAGGTATATATCATTATTCTTTTCACATGCTTTTCCCTCATCTTCCTCCCCTCCCCAGTCTCTTGGTCTCCTTCTCTTTTGCAAAAAATCTCCGTTTTGTATCATTTATTTTTTTCTGTGCTCTTGAAGATGTTTACTTTTCAGTGGAGCAATTTAGTTGGCAATGGGAGATTTACTGCACCTGTGGCTTATATTCAAGGTACTGAAAACGTTATACATAAATAAATTTTGGTGATAGAGAATACCACTTTTTTATTTGAGGCAGGGTCTTGCTATATATGTCAGGCTGGCTTTGAACTCCCTGTGGAGCCCGGGCTGACCTCAAATCGGGGTGATCCTCTTCAGCCTTCTGAGTGCGGGGATTGTAGGCACCTGTCACCATTTCCAGCTAATACCACTTGCGTATATTAAAATACCAGCAACACTGTGCTTGTATGGTAAGACTTTGGGTCTGTTGACTTTTAAGTAACTTTGTTTCTATTGAACATTACTTTCAGTATGCTAGTGCAAGCTGTCAAAAAATCAGAGTGGTAATTGGCTAATTGGTCTCACTGTGTATGATTTACAGGACAGGTGATACTGCTAATTCTGGATGGTTTGTATTTTGTATTAGCGCCTATTTCTGTTATTTAACTTCTGTGCTGTCAGCTTTTTTCTGCCTTTCACATATTTTTGTTCACACACAGCGTAGATTGCAGTTCTGAGAAAGTAGATCTTTCTAAGGTAGATTTACTGAAAACTAGTAGTGTTTCTATTCTATTGTTAGTCCTACATTTTAGACAATAACAAAAGTTAATAAGTTACTTTGTCATCAGTTTTTTATCTCAATTTGTTAAAAATATGTATTAGAAATAGCCATTTTGTTTATCGAAGAAAACATTTTTCACTCAATGTAGATCTTTTGTCGTATTGCTTTTTTAATTCAGTATTTGTGTGAAAGGCAGGATTGTGTGCTAAGAAGTCATTGTAAAGAGTTTTTGTTCAATATACGGAAAATACTAGGTTTGTTTGATACTTAAAAGCAGAGGTCTTTCCTTTTTTTTATTGAGACAGGAGCTCCTTAAATAGTTCAGGCTGGCCTTGAACTCATAGCTTCCTTGTGCCTCAGCCTCTTGGGTGCTGGGTTTCCAGGGGTGTGCCACCACCCCGGCCCTCACTTTTCAACAGTCTTTCAAATTATTGCTTCATTTTACTGCCCCCAGGAAAGTACTAATGAACAGCTACTGTGCTTCTCTTTGGAGATAAATGCTGCAACATGGTATGAACTTTATAGTATACACGTGACGCAAAATTATTCATATACAAGCAGCCTATAGAATTGTGGGTTCCACAGTGTATCTGGGCAAGTTAGG